GCCTCTCATTCAAAGGGAGTTGGGAAATTGTTTTCCTATTTAAGTTACTTTAATGTGAAACTTCACACCAAGCAGAATCATCTAAATTTTTTCTAAGAGCACTGACAGTGACAGAAATCCTCCTTGGAGTGTACCTGTGCAGTATAAAGAATATGAATGCCACACCATTCCTCCTTTTTTCAGGGATTTTAGCTTGGTTACTATTACTGTCATCTCCTATTTAGAGTCTTGTCTTTCAAAAATACAGTACTTTTCTAGAATACTTTTTGAAAACTGTTTTTTAAACATTTAATAGGAGTGATTTTTTTTTCCTCCAAAAATTCATGCTCCACTCTAACTAATCACTCACTTGCCTCATGACAGGAAACACTGAATCTTTTACACCCTGTTGCCTATTAATTCAATTCACAAATGAACTTGTGTTCTTCATGGACTTCATGTTCTGAAAGGCTCATCCAGAGTAACAGTCCTACTGCTTTAGTCTCTGTTTTGAAAATAATTTAACCCTCTCATTCAGTGTGTAAAGAATTAAGCCCAAAGTTCAAAGACTGATGCCAGTAGTGATCATGAGGAAAGAAAACACCACTAACAGATTTTCCACATCATACAGAGGAGACAAGACTGTCTCAAACATTTAGTGTACAACTGGACACAAGTCTCATTAATTCAGTATCCCTTTCACTCTTAGGAACTTCAGTTATACTTGTAAATTTTACTTTAAGTTATTAAAATTGTTATGGAATGGTATCTTGCTTTTTTTTCTAATTAGCATGTATTTAAGGTCAATTTTATGTCCAGAATGAAGGACTCTTTAAAAAAAAAAAGTGTACACTGAGGAACTTGGAAGTGCTAGCATTTCCTAGGTCTCCACGTTATTTCTGTAAGCTAATAACATCCCCAAATATATTAGATGCATAGATTGAATAGCACCCATTTGAGAAGTACTTAAGTGTAGACTACCATTCAGCCACCTGAACTCTTAACTATTAAAAAAAACCCTCCCCTCACCAAAAATAGCAAAAAACAACTGTCTCCCACTAAGAAAGTTTGGGGTCCCTTCCACTCAAAGACATTTTGCAAATCTGTGAAGCTTAAGGAAGAGTTTAGTCAGGTGCTGGTAGTGTTACTTAATTTTTACCTCTTGATTCTGTTTCCTTGGAAGTAAGCATCATTTCAGTTTTTGTTGACAATGTGTGTTTATTTAAAAAAAAAAAACAAAACACCACTTTATATTAGAACTATTTAGTAAAAATAATAATTTGGACTGTGACAAGATGGAACTACATTGTGAAAAACAGAAGAATCACACAAGTCCTAGAAGCAGCTTTATTTTTGAGAGAAATTTCTCAAGCAAGAAAAAAATCACTGCATTGATTTTATTAATAAACTTCTCAATATTACAATAACAAGAAAAAAATTCATGATATGCATACATTTTCCTGTAACTCAAGCATTGAGCTTTCCTGCAAGTCACTCTGTACGTGGAATTTGGTTTGCTAGGGGAGTTAATTCACTTTTATAAGAAAGTTAGTGAAAATCATTAGCCTTCCTTTTCATCACAATCCTGGAGTATACACAGAAATCAAGAGCCCTGCGTACTGGCTGAAGGCAAGCTGCACTGCATATGAGAAACTTCTGTGTTTAAAGAGAAAGTTCCCTACCTAATAATTCCTGTAGACCTCTCTATCTGCGGTTATAAAAACCACTAACATGCACACACATGCAGAACAAAACTTTCCCTCTATTTCTTTCAGGAAAGTTATCATCATGAGTTGCTCTTTCATGGATTCCAGGTAAAAAGCAGTAGGACAGGAGAGGAAAAAGGCCTGAGCAGGTAAGCCTATTTTCATTCAACAGTTGGTAATAACTTTTAATGCCATTCTCTCAAGAAAACATAAGAACTAAAATAAAGATTGGAGAAAGCAAGATGTAATTTTAGATATCGTGCAGTTCAGGACACATTATTTCCATGCACACTACTATTTGGGGGTGGGGGTTGTCTTAAAGTCCTAGTAATGACTTTTAATTGCATCTTTGTTCTATGCATTTTAAGGACACCAATACTTCCCTGTTACTTCCCTTAAACTTAGACCAAAGGAAACCAAATACATGTGTAAAGCAAGGAACACAACGCAAGCTCTTTTGGGGAAGCTTACCCAATGATGGTAAACAGATTTTCCACTGCTGTCCAAGGCAAGCACCTGTAAACTTAGCAAGAGGCAACAAAAGGTGGTATCAACAGCAGACTTAGCCACCACTCCCATCCTGTGCAGAAGACACTACTCTGAGCAACCCTGCTATTGACACTGCTGTTGCTTGTCAACTCAAGGAGATCAACCTCATGTTTCCTTTGTATTCTGATATGCAGGAAGCTCTCTTGTAACAGGAGTCACACATTGTAAATGTTTCTGTTGTATAATATTCAATAAGAAATTTATTATGACATCGGAGCTTCAAAGTCTTTCCAGCTCTCTTTGCCTGCAATGCTTACTTCATCTGTTACAACTCCTCCTTATGTCCAGGCCCTTCAAAGCATTTATCTTTGCAACATGGTTGGTTCACTATAATTTTGCTTAATGTTAAGACTTATCTTGTTCCTTGCATGCAATGTCAAGCTCATTTTAGAAAAAGATGTACAATCATTCTATTACAATTGTGCATTCTGAAAGACAGTCAAGGAGTAAAGCAGCATTTCATCATTTTTATATAAAATCCAATCTGTTCAATACAAAACACAGAAAAAAGGCAGCAACTACCTTTAACAGTCCAGGCAAAGTGTGAAAAAGAACACAGTGCAAACATTTTTGTCAAATAATACTGAAATGTGAAATCTACAGACAACTATGAGAGGATAAAATGAAGTTACAGGGCAAGCCAACTTGGACCCACTATTAAGTTTTCATTTAGATCTTTTGCTCATTTTAAAAGCGACAATATTGACACACGATATTTTATAGCAAGTAAATATTAAGGTCTGAAATTTTATGAGAGGTGCATTGATTAAAATGAGAACAAGATAAAATTTAAATAACAAAAGAAATGTAGTTTACATCAGAGACGATCCTGCAGATAGGAACAGATCAGATACAACCTAACTTCAGAAGTTGCCCAGAGGCTAGCCCTCTTAAATTATACGAGAAGCTACTGCAACTGCAATACCATGGAATTTTTATATTCTACTACTTAAAAAATGTTCACACACATTGTCTTGCTTCAAACTTCATTGGTGTCAGCCACAAAACTTGAATTTTATTAAGACTGTTTAAATGCTGCCACAAAAGTGTGGTGAACTGAAACGTAACACTTCATAAGCTTCCTTAGGTCTTAAGTGAAAAACTAAATGAAGCAAGCTTGAAGAAATTTATCTTATATTAAACAAGCAGTAGCTCACACGTACCCAAATTCTGCTGGCTAAAATTCATTGGAAAGATAGATTGTTTAAAGAATGATTTTTCCAAAAACTGCAACAAAAAGTTCTTATCTGATTAAGTTATCCCATTTCAAGCAAGTCTTCAAAGATTTTACTTGGTAGGTGAAAGAGTCTACACTTCACTAAGACTGAACATCTGAACTTAACGTTGTATTACCTTTGTATTCCCTATCCAGTTATTCAAAGGAGAAAAAACACTGTACTATTTTGTCACTGCTGAAAAATATTCCTTATGTTGAGGAGCAGAAATGCACTTCAGTCCTGGTCTGCAAAAACCTTTCATGGCCCTATCCTCACTTTTTTGTTAAGAGAATGTCACCACACTCAACGCAGCTGTGCACCAGGGACTAGAATAAGGTCAAATTCATTTCCAGTTGTCATCAGAACCAGGATATGAATTAAGCCTCCAAGAACATATTAGATGAGTAACATATACAGCCTTCTTAAAGGTTTCCTTCCCTTCCCCCACAGCTACAAGCTTGGATTTATAAAGAGAAGCCTCTACAGGCACAACAGGTTGGACATAATGAAGCACCATTTCTATAGTCCTCTAGGTACCAACTTGAAAAGATGCTTTGCTAGTAGCAATGATTGGAGAACACTTCTCCAGAGACCAAAGAAAAAGTAATTCAATTTCAGTTGGTAAGAACTAGTATCTAGGAATGGCTGTTTTATAGACATTCTTTTTAGCTTCATATTACAGAAATGAATCAAGACTATATTAATTCAAGAAAAGTCTTATGACTAAAAAACAAAAGAACTTCCTTGTGTTACTCGCAGTGAACTCCCAGAGCTTTCCTATTAACACAAAACCACAACCAGATAGCAAGTTGTTTTAATGCTTATTGCATCTTTCCTTGCCACTCTACAAACAACAAAAGTAGGGGAAAAACTGGTTGTATCTTATGAAATAAAAAGTTCAGCGATACAGATTCAGAGAAAATACAGATTTTTTAAAAGAAGCAAGCATTATCCAACAAATGCTTCAATTCTAAGCCTATGCAGTGTTTCAATATAAGCCCACACAACCTTATTTCTCACAAGTTACACAATCAATAAGGCATACAGGTTGCTTTGTGACAAAGGAGAGAAGGAAAGAATTTAAGAAACTCACCTAAAGTACCTCAAAGCTGATATTTACCCAACCATGAAGGCTCAAGAATGGATAATATTCCAGTACAAAACAAGAAGTAAAATAAAACTAAACACCTCACTTTTCTCTGATGCAGAGGGAAAAAGAGAATACTGTTGTAGGAGCTGATCAAGAGCCACACCAGGAGACTTCTTAGTTGAGAAAAAACAAAGTCATCTACAAGCCAAACCAGACAACCTGCATGCACAGCATGTTTAATCCCAGTCCATAAGCCTTCAGTTAAATAACTCAGATTGTGAGCATAATATAAGCAGTGAGCTAACGAGACTTCAAATTTGACACGAAGAGACATTCTATCTTGTATTTGCTGTGTAGTAAATTACAGACTAACTGTTTGGACAGTTTTTCAAACATCTCCCCCTCCCCATGAATCTGAATTACACCTAGTCCCTTGGTTTTATGCTACTTTGTACTTACTGCTGGTAGCAGAGACTGCATGTTCTGGTTGGAGTCAGCTATAGTAGCTAGATAAACCAAGTTTGTGTGTAGCATCTGCTGGTATCTACCAAAACGAACAAAGGAAAAGAGGCCTTAAGTCACAGTGACAATCTTGGAATTCAACTCTATACATGTCAAGAAACAACTTCCAACAGCTTACAAGAGTACGGTTATTAGGAATCCTACATCCTTTCCTCACATCTCCCTACTGACCAACCTTTCCCAATTTCTCTGCCAAGTCTGGCTTGTCCTCTACAGTTTTTGTACTGCAAACTCAATCTAAAACATAGTGACCTCAACTGTTTCACTTCCTACCCTAAGCAAAGTCACTAGGAGGCATTTAGAGTATGAGTGCGTCTGTTTGACATTATTTCCAACAGAAACACTAGGGAAAGAGAGCTCTTTCTATTATGTCCCTAGATGCAAGGTATCACATTGTTATGAATCATGACCAAGAACAGCAATAACATTCCATCAGGATCCTGAGATCTGAATGTCCGCTGTTGAATTTTTTTTCTACTGCAGAACCAGATTCTAGAGTACCAACATCCAGCCCAGAGTCAAATGAACAACCTTGTAAGCAGGAGCAGAGTACAAGTACGTAACTACATGCTTGCATACAGCTTAATATAGTAACTGTGTGCTACACTTCACTCATATCAGTAGAAGTAATCCCCTGAAACAAAAATACCTACCATTTGTTACCCCAGCTTTCCCCCCAGATTATCAGCCTCTTAGAAATAGCCTCAACAGCCACACTGTGATAACCTATCTGTCATCACATGGAGGAATATCTGTCCAGGTCCACAGCTGTCTGACCCTCCAGAAACCTCACTAGACAACAGGTTGACATGGTATATTCTGGCAAGCCAAACTTAAGGTGGAGTTTCCTCTTGGGCAAGTGGTAAACAGCATAAATACTGTATTGTTCTGAAAGGTCTGAGAAGAAAGCTACCTCCTTCCCAAACTGTAATTACAACAGAGGTAGATCTCTCAGTTACACAGTCCCCATTTTTTTTTGTTGTTGTTGTTATGCTATCAACTTGAAGTACTCAAGCTGCAATGTTGCACTGATGGAAATGATAGTTACACAGCAAAGAAAAAAATTAACCACAGTATTTGCAGCAATATTTTTCTAATCTTCTCAGCGTGGTCCTCTTTCAAGGTGAGCTACATAAATCAACTGATCTAGATGGAAATTCACCCGGTCCACAGTAGATTTGGATTAATGTCTTACTGAGAGCATTCAGATGTCTTTCCTTTGTTTTGGTAGTCCATTATACACTGAATAAGGTGGTTATTTTCATCCAGCATCTGAAACAACAAAGAAGTCTGAGGTAAGCGTGACATTCTTTATGGAAAAAAATAACTAAAGACAATTATGAGTCTTAAAGTTTGATTTCTTTTTAAAACTAACAAAATTAATATTCCAGAAAGCCCTACTTCAACCAATTACTTACATTCTTTTGCTCTTCCTCCTTAGTTTTATAGGTTTTAGTATAAGGGTTTTAAGTCACTATTATAACTACATTTATGATGTTCCCTATTTAAATACCTATATTCCATCTACAAGAAGTTCATGGGAAGTATTCTGAGTTTTCATGTAATCTCAAGTGAAGAACAAACTTGAAAACTTGGGGCATAAATTTTTCTTCTCCCTCCGAAGCCAACAATTCAATAATGAAAGGCATTGTAATGGTTAATTGATAGAAACTGAGCTAAACAGGCATGATTGTTTCAAGGAAACACTTTGAAAAGTTAGGCCATATTTACATTATAAATGTTCTGTATAATTACACGCTCTTAAAACACAGTTTAACTGGCACAACTGACAATATTTCAGAAGTGTCTGGGAATATGAACGCATGCTAATTACTTTTCTGGGGAAAATAAAGTTCTAAAACCATGGGAAATTGCAGGTCTCATAGCCTTCTGCAGGAAGTACAGGAAATAAAGATGTTCTATGCCAACAAACAGGAAAAAATATACAGCCTGGTTTCCTAGAGTTGCACATTCTCACGCTTGTGTCTTTGTTTTAATCCCCTCATCTGCTCTCTGATCTCTGAATTAAGTAAAACCATGGCAAGTCTTAACTACCAACAAAGTTACCAAGTCTGCTCAGCTAAATGGAAAATATTACATCAATTTCTTGGTTCCTCTCAGTGGAAAACTGGTTTCTATCCTTGCAGCCTACCAAGTGCCACATTCTAAATCTGCAAATCTGGCCACCTCTTTCCTCCCCTTATGTTTTGGACCTGACACTTAGCCACTGAATTTCACAAAGCTAATACAATCTTAATCATCTTCGAGGCTCTTCCCTTCTTCTGTACACCAAATCAAAACATCTCAAGTTTGAACGTGGTTGAGATTAGCCAGGTTTATAATTCTACAAGGGAAGCAGAAGTAATTATATCACTTTCATTTCCCTAGGAATCCAACTTCAGCAAATTCTTAAAAAAAACAAAAAACAACTTTTTTTTTAATTCCTTTTGACTGATCCACCTCTATTACAAAGAAGATCATAAACCTTACAACTTTAAGCAGTTCACTCACATCCAGATAAGAATAAAGCAAACAGTTCAAACAATTGAGTCTTCCCAAATTCAAACTAGCAATTCACCAAACTACAGTAGAACAATCAGTGAAAAACTGTTCTTGCCCAAAATTGCTGGACCTGGAAACATCGTCCTTAAGTAGGAATCACAGACAAGAACTACAACACCCCAAGTTTCTGAACTCCTGACACTAAGCAGAATTACATTTGCACACACCTAAGAGGATCCTGGACACGCTTGTACACTGGCATACTTGATATGTGCTAACATTAAGTGTTAAGGAAGCGCAGTGGCCAAATTCAACAGAAAAAGAGCTGGGGAAAAAGCAATTAGTACAATTTATATAGTATATAGAGTAATTGCAAGGGAAGTCTTGAATGAAGGCTCTTCTCAAAGACTCCAACTGTCTAGAGAAAGGCAGCATGTCAGCACCTGGGGTGGTAAGGCACTGGCACAGCTGCCCATGTAAGCTGTGGTGCCCCATCCCTGGAGGCACTCAAGGCCAGGTTGGATGGGGCCCTGGGCAGCTGAGCTGCTGGACTGCAGCCCTGCCCACGGCCCGGGGGGGGGGACGGGACTGGGAGGGCTTTAAGGCTCCTTCCAATCTGAGCTATTCTACAATACAGGTAGAATTTGGAAGTGCCAGCGAGATGGTTGTTCTCCTCAGTGCTGCCATGCAGGCTGTACATCTTTGGGGAAAATAAATAAATAAAGCTAGGAGGAAAGAAAAGGAAAACAAATAAGAATACAACTGTATGCCTGACAGGACTAAAGGCACTGTTTGATACAATCAAGCTGTTGCTGATGGAAAACCAAAAAAGTTCTATGAAGAAGTTACAGATGTCTGCCATCACAAGATAGCCTTGTTTCTAGCTGGATGAAGACACCTCCAAGACTTCTGACAACTTACATGTGCCAGTTACAACAATTCTCCAGCTTCAGCTATAGCAGAGTTGTGCCAGTACACTAACACTGAATTAGTGGCTTGACTACAGCACAAGAAAAACCTAACTGTCTACATTCAACACACAGTCAGTGACCTGCAGCCTGCAGACAGCTTTCTACCTGGTGGATACGCATTTCCCACCCTTACTTATGAAGCACAGACTTCTGTGGTACTGTGTAAGGCTACACCATAGCCCCAGGTCTTCCATGACACCCTGAGCCCGCAACACCTTGCTGACTCCCACGTTCTTTCCTAAGCCAGAAGCTGATTGTATCTGATGAGCTCCCACACAAGGAGCTTGCCACCGTGAGTGGGAGAGATTTCAGAGCAAGAGTTGCACTGGTGACAGCGAGGGCCTATGGTTAAGTCCCAAAGCACAGCACTGAACCGAAGCACACTCCCTCACCTCTGCCAACACGGAATACTGAGTTTAGAACACAGAATCACAGAATGGCCAGAGTTGGAAGGAACCTCAAGAATCATGAATCTCCAACACCCCTGCCACAGGCAGGGCCACCAACCTCCCCATTTAATACTAGACCATGCTGCTCAGGGCCCCATCCAATCTGGCCTTGAACACCTCCAGGGAAGGGGCATCCACAACCTCTCTGGGCAGCTGTTCCAGCACCTCACCACTCTCTCCGTAAAGAACTTCCCTCTGACATCCCAACACACCGCAGGCACGCTTCCCTCTCGCCGCTCCCTCCCGCAGCAGCCCGGTCACGGCCGCCGGCCATAGCGCTTCCCTTTAAGCTTCAGAGGAGGAGCAGAATGGGATAAGGCCTTATTTCGCGGCGGCCCCAGTATTCGCCCCGCGGAGCCCGCAGTTACGTAGGGCCCGGCTCGTTTTCCCTGACGGCCTCGCACGGCCCCCATCAGTGCGGCCGGGCCCTCAGCCCGCAGCCCTCCACCGCACCGCAACGAGGCCTCAGCCTCGCTCCGCCCGGCCGTCCCCGCGCGGCGCGAAGCCCCGGGCGCTCCCTCACCTTCTGGATGGCGGCCGGCGTGATCTCGCCCTTCCCCCGCTGCCGGGGGGCCGCGAACGCCACCGACATGTCGCGCCGCTGCCGCCAGCAGGGCCCAACCCGCGCCCGCCCGCTCACGCGCACCCCGCGGCGGCGGGAGGCGGCCGCGATCCGGGAACGGAGCTGCGCGGGGGGCGGGGCGGCACAGCCCTCTCCCGCCGGGGAAAAGCTAAGGTGGGCCGGGACTCCTCCCCGCTTTTCGACAGCGAGAAGGGAGCCACGAAGGCCGCTGGGCGCTTCTAGGAGCTTGGCCAAAGCACCGGGACCGAGAGCCGGTCGCGCCGTTCGAACGCTGCCGCCCCACGCCGCGCCGACCTCGTTGGCCACCCCTCTGTTTGTCGCGGCGTTGGTACGTTCCAACCCCGCTCTGCTCAGCGCCGGACGGGCGGTGAAGTGGTACGGCCGGCAGAGGGGGAGGTGGGAGCAGGCTGCTCTGGCATTGCACGGAGCTGCGCTGCTCCCCGCCTGACGGCAGTTGGTTGCGCCCGCGCAACCCGCTCTGCCGGCGGGGCGGGGAGCGTCTGCTCGGAGCGCTGTCTGAATCGACAGGTGGAGAAACGAAGAAATAAGAAGTTGCAGGGGAGCAGCTGGTGCTGCATGCGCGCGGCTCGGCTGCGCAGGGCCTGCTGGCTCCTTTCCCTGCCCCCGTTTGTGCTAACAGGGTTTTTTCCTCTGTCTCCCACACGCTTCACCGTCATCGCGGCTATCGCACTCGAAGCACAGCAAAAGTGAGAAGATTGAAGAAACCTGTTCTGCTCAAGTTGATAGCCATCACGGTGACTCATGGTTACCATTCTGTGGTCTTTGAGTGAACTCAGTTGCAGCTCTGCTTAAACTGATGAGGTTGTTTTAAGTATCACAAACAGTGAGGAATCTCTAGAATGAATCACAGGGTTGGAAGGGACCCTAAAGCCCACCCGGTCCCATCCCATGCTATGGGCAGGGCTGCCACCCAGCAGCTCAGCTGCCCAGGACCCCATCCAACCTGGCCTTGAGCACCTCCAGGGATAATGGGGCACCACAGCTTGCATGGGCAGCTCTGCCAGTGCCTCACCAACCTCTGAGTGAAAAACTTCTCTTTGGCATCTAACCTAAATCTCCTTTATTTTAAAGCTGTTCCCCCTTGTCCTATTGTTATCAGACCACATAAAACATCAGTTTCCTTCCTGCTTTATAAGCTCCCGTCGAGTACTGGAAGGCCACAATGAGGTCTCCCCAAAGCCTTCTCTTCTCCAAGCTAAACAGGCGCAGATCCCTCAACCCATCTTCATAGGACAGGGCCTCCAGCTCTCTAGAAATGAGGAATGCACGACAGCTGTAGAATGTGCTATCTCTTAGCTAGCTGCAAGTAGAAAAACAAGGACTTCACTTTTTAGCAGTATACTCGTGACTCTTTGGAACTGGTGAGGTGTGTGAATGTGTCCTAAGGCAGCAGGCCCCTTCATTAACTGGACAGTAAGTGTTCTCATGAAATACACTAAACACCAAGATCTCAGCAAAGTGTTTTCTCACAAGCATAACTTATCTTTCTCTCATTCTCTGTTTACCCAGCTACTGTCTGCAGAACATTTTGCATAGGGGTATCTTGGTGATGGCAGTATTGGAGAAAATAATGCTAACGCGTCAGCCATAGAAGTACTGCTTTGAAAATCTAAATGTTGCTCCATATTCTCCCACATTTTCATCTTGATGATGAGGAAAGGAGAAAAAATAGGCTTATGAGATTCTACAGATGAGAAATCATCGAATGAATGGAGTAACTGGCCATTGTATTTTGCAAAAATAGACCAAATTAAATATGAAAAACTTCTGAGTGCTTTCGTATTTCCACACAAAATATGGGAGATTGATATATAGGATTCAACTGATATGTGCGTAAGAGCATTCACTCCTAATAATTAAAACCACATCTTTGTCCTAGTTTTGTCAGGCAGTTAAATTAAATCGAATTATTTGCCTTTTCTTTGTGATGATTTTTCCTTCCCATTTTTAAAATGTTGGATTTCCATATTCATAAATAGCAACAGATCTAAAGAGACATTGGAAAAAGACTCTACAGCTCTACTTTAAAAACAACATTGTAAATAATGGCACAGACACATACAAGTAAGGAAATAGATAGCTACAGTGGAAATGTGCCACATGTCTCAGAACAAATAACCACAACAGGGTGTCTCTTTTATGACTTTCTTAATGCACTGCAATATGCCTAGATATCAAAGGACATATGGTATATTTTCTCTTTAATTGCATATTTATTTGCTCTTGTGAGTTACTCACAACTTTAACATTATTTAATTGCAATTTAGATGCATAAATCCAGATCATCACCAAGAGCTTCAAATACAAATATATTTCAATCAGATCTTTCTTCCACTGCTGTTCTTATTTTCATCAATGTATTACCCTTTTTGTTTATGTGCATTTGAGTATTCCTTATTTCCTTCGAGACAGAAGAACACAGAGAAGGATGGGCCCTTTTCTGAAAGATACTTTTTCCTCAAGCTTCCAATTCATACTTTTTAATGGTAAGTAGCAGGTTATGATACAGGCCTCAAGTGTGGAGTCTTGAAAGTATTGACATTTTGTTTCTTGAGAAAGAAAGTGAAGGGAATAAAGGTAGAGTGGATTTAGTCTTCTCAGGACTGAGTCAAAATTCCTCATCACGAGAAATCAAATTCCTCATCACAAGAGGAATCATGTTTCAGTTAGTTTCTGAGAAACATGCAATGTTTGCAGTAATCCACTCTTTGAACAATTATGAGGGTAAAAAAAATTGTAAGCTATCTCCAGTTTCTACCTATGTTTTCTAGCAGTATTGCCTGAATTCCCATACTTTCTCTGGAATACAATGGAAAGGTGAGAGAAGGAATCAGCATACATTCCCTTCCATGAGCAGGCCAATAGAGAATGCTAAATCATTATTATTTTTACATTTCAGATTTCATAATTGATGTTTACTGAGATATTCACAAGACAAAGGACAGCAAAAAATGTTATGATAGCTTTGTCTGCGTAGACTTGCTTGACTAAAGGTGTCAGTTGAGAATGTTTCCTGAGAATAATTCCTGATGTTAATTTTTCTCAAATAAAGCTTTTAACATATTGCTGACAGCACTATGCTTTATGCATTTTGTGCAAAAAAAACCACTCTCCTTGCTCTACTACGATAGACCATCTGCTAGTAGGATGATAGGTTGAATTACAGCCTTTTTTTTTAGGGCACATCAGGGTGTTTCTGTGTGTGTTTTGTAACATCAGCAATACAATCAGGTAACAGTTACAGCAAATCCCAAGCAAGCACTTTCTTTTGATAGATGAAGATGGAAAATAGCAGAAGGAAGAATTACTGTTGTTGGTTTAGTGTTTCTTTACCAGCTGAACTTGGTGTCACCTCATGACTTTGGTGGGATTTCCTACATGCCCAGTCTCCATGGGGGTTCATGTTGCTGGAAATAGAGCTAGTGTCTGTCTGTTTAAATGGCTGATTCTGAAGAACGATTTGGATTCTACTTGATAAGCAGTAATTTGTTATCAAAATACGGCAATATTAATGTCAGGGTAAATTATGGTTTTCTTGGGATTGCACTAATGGTAAATTTGTCTTGAATTAATTCTTTCAGCTTCTTGTTTGATACTTTAAATTTTGCCATTTGTATTTTGCACTGGCTATTGTATAGAATATTAATAAGAAGTAGCACCTGAAATGCAAGCCTCTACGTTTTGATAAAAAGTGGATTACTCAAATAGGATTGCATAGTACAATTATATTGGTGGCTCTGCCGTGTTCCAGTGGGGCAATAACAAAAACAGGAAAAAATCAATGCGATGCTAAATTTTTATTCTAGTGTCTGTCATTTTAGTCTGAAAATGTAAATATTTAGAATAAGGGCACTCACATCATGTTCAGTAGTTTGCACTAGTGGGAGTAAGCGCAGCAGCTGAATAGAGAAAATCTTTCTGTGTCCTGATTTTATTCTTCAAAAGGGAATCTCCAGCTAGTTGGAACGTATGCTATAAATAAAGAATAGCAGAACATCTAATCTAAGCCTCTTTGGAGCTGAAAATTCTTCAAGAATTCTTAGATGTTAATATTTTATTTTAGAACATGGAAACAAAGTACCATAGTTCCTGATTTCTTCATTTTTTGAATGTCAGAAGCAAAGCAGAAAGCACACTGTGCAGCTACAGGATAGTACTTCTGCCTTGTCATTGGAATTCTAATCAACCACTTGATGAAGGAATACAGAAAGATAATTAAATCACATGTAGTTTTCTTTCTCTGAAGAAAGACTGATCTCATGACCTAACTGAGACCTCTCTCATTCTTCTGTCAGTTTTTCCAGTACTGCCCAGGATACTCTTGTTCTTTGCCAAAAGGGCATATTGCTGACTCACACTCACCTTGTCCACCTAGATCCCCACATCCTTTCATGCTGGGCTGCTTTCCAGCCAGTTGGCCCCAGTGTGTACTGATACATGCGGTCATTCTTACTGAGGTGAAATACTTTGCACTTCCCTGTGCTGAATTTAATGAGGTTCATATCTGACCATTTCTTCAATCTGTTGAAGTCCCTCTGAATGGCAGTATTCACTCCTCTCAGTTAAACAGTATTGGTCCTCGTACTGACTCCAGAGGTATATCACTACTGACTATCCTGCTGGACTCCATACCATACTGATAACAACCTTATGAGCATGACAGTTCAGCTCATTTTCAGTAAGACACTCTACTCTTACCTAATCTGTACTTTATCCATTTGTCTATGAGGATGGTATGGGAAATACTGTCTGAAATCTCATAAAGGTTGGGATTAAAAAATCCAGTACTCTTCCCTCTTCCACCAAACCTGTTGTCTCTTCACAGAAGGCTATCAAGTGGATGCAATTTACTCTTCATAAATCCATGCTGACTAGTCCCCATCACCTTTTTGTCCTTAATGTACTTAGACATGGTTTCCAGGATTTGTTCCTTTACCTCCCCAGTGATTGAGGTGAGGCTGAATGGTCCCCTGGATCCTCTTTCTTGCCTTTCTTGATGATGGGTGCCTCCCATCAGGGCCCATGGACCTATGTAAGTTTATTTTGTTTAAATATTCCCTAACC